AAGAGGTCCGTAGTTTGATCCTCAGTGACCTCACACACTTGTTTCAAGGAGCATGTGTGGCTTGGAGGGTAGTTTGCTGCCTGCTAAGCAAGAGGCCCATAGTTTGATCCTAAGTGACCTCACACACTTGTTTTAAGGAACAAGTTTGGCTTGGAAGGTTAGTGTGCTGCCTGCTAAGCAAGAGGTCCATAGTTTGAACCTCATTGACCTCACACACTTGTTTCAAGGAGCATGTGTGGCTTGGTAGATTAGTTTGCTGCCTGCTAAGCAAGAGGTCCGTAGTTTGATCCTCAGTGACCTCACCTTTATTTTTTTCTTGTTTCCTTAGTTTTTCCAGTTGCAATTCTTCAACCTCCATTTTACAGCGGAAAGTACAGTAGGTGAGGAATAAAAGTGTCAAAATTAGTTGAACAACCAATGCCTTCGAAAATATATTTTAATTTTTTTTCTTCTCTTTTTTCTTTAGTGCTGTCAATTTTGGTGGCATCGGTTCTGTGATTGGTCACGAGCTGACGCATGGATTTGATGATTCAGGTAAGTTGTCCCCAGGACCTTATCGGTATCCAACATGGCCGCCGCTGCGGGGGGAAATCAAGACAATTAAAATAAACTACATCACTTGCATCTGAAATTAGCCATTCGCATGGAATTTCTGGCTCCTATAAACCACATCAACAAAGTTCAAACTACTTTAAGCATATCTTCAAACTGTTTTAAGTACCTTACGATAAGTTTGGACACCTCTTTTCTAGGGAAAAATTACGACGAAGGTGGACGGCGCGAGGACTGGTGGACTGACCACACCCTCAATGAATTCAAAAAACGATCCAAGTGTCTGGTCGATCAGTATTCCAGATATCAGTTTCATGGGCAAAATGTAAGTTCCTTTTCTATTTAAATAATTGGTATTATCCTGCAATGGGATGCGATCGTGGGATGTACGCGCCATACTGAATACAAATTTTGGACAATTTTGATTTTTGTTTAAAAAATGGTGAATGCTTTTATTAAATGTAAAAAAACCCCGATATTTTGGCTTTTACAATACGTAATGCAGGATCGGATGTCCAATTAATGGAGCATGGATACGAGAGACTTGTTCGAGAGTCCAATTAAGTTATGAAATTTGGAATCTACGGGATTAATTCTTGGTACGTATCGTATCGACTAGTTGAAAGAATCTCAATCAGCTTGCAATAACGACAGGCAAACYGCCTATACGCATGGCAATCAAACTATGAATGCTAAAAATCCTATATTACATCCGGATTTCAACATGCCCAATATTTACTAATGATATATGATTGATACAACCCCCTTTCTATGTATATACTAAAAAGCTGCTCCGATTGGATATATTATGTGACAGCAATTGAAAGTAGTCATCTGCGCAACTTGAAAATCTGAGCCCGGTTGTACGAAGCCTCCTGGATAGCGCTATCCGACGGATAATAAATCTTTTTCAGTGGATAAATTTATTGGATAACAGCATCGACTTATCCAATGGATAAGGATTTATCCGCTGAATACAGCGCTATCCAGGAGGCTTCGTACAACTGGGCCCTGATCATTTGTAAATGTAAAAGGTAGCACATTCGGATCTCCTCAGTTTATATAACACCCCGAGTGTAAGTCCGGCCGGGATTTTAACCAGCACGACCTTCCGCACAATACTCCGATCGATGCGCATCCAACTTAGCCAACCGGGCGTCGGTAATTAAGGGAAATGTCTTTGATTGAAACAGGTCAATGGTAAGCGAAGTCTCTCTGAGAATATCGCAGATAATGGCGGACTTAAGCAAGCTTTGGGTGCCTATAGAACATGGGTTAATATAAATGGCGATGAACCCACCTTGCCTACTACCAATATGACCAATGAACAGTTATTCTTTGTGAGCTTCGCGCAGGTGAGTAATTTCCATGCCACAGGACACCCATGATCCAATAACACTATTCATCAGCTTTGCGAGTCCCTATATCTCGACAGGGGACCCCTTTGAACATGACCAATAAACAGATATTCTTTATGAACTATGCGCAGGCAGTGATCCAAGGATCACTCTTTAAGAGTTTCCTGTCATCGCTTGTCATCGCTAATCACCACCGCAGTTCACCACAGGGGACTTCAATTCACGAATTAGAAACGGCTTAACGTAACGATACCTTAGTGTGCTACCTATTTTCCTGAAACTTTGCAATTATTCAAGTTCTTTTTGTTTATGTATAGAATTGGTGTGCGTCGTTCAGCAGTGAAGGAATCAATGAAGAAATGACGAGTAACTACAGTCCAACACCAATAAGGTAACTATGGCAACGACAGGTTGTGTAAAAATCTGCCGAATGAATTTCACGAATCTAATTACCTACCTATAATGACAGGTAAACAATGCCCTTCATGTGCTTTCAACAAGAGAGTATTCTATTGCTTGATGAATGAATATTATGAATCTCGATCGCGCATTACTAGCCTTTGATAAAGAAATGATACTCAAGGGAAATGACATATGGTCTGTAATGGGAAAACATTACGTCCAAGCTAAGGAGAATTTTCCAGCCGAAAGTAGGTTTAATTCAGCCCAAGTTTCGAGCTAGCTATAGCAAGAAAAAACTAAAATATTTTTAGATATAAGCATCAAGCATTTTTTTCATCTGGTCACCTTGAAGTCGGCCTATACAGCAACATGTTGGAACATGTTTTTAGACAAGTGGGATATTTCAAACATACTTTGGTATCTTGTGTGACAATCAGAGTATCGTTCACCTTCGACTTCACATTTTTAAGTCTTTCAAAAATGTGCAGCTAAATACTATAAATAATTCAGGAGTTAGCCTCTATTATCCTATTTATCTATTGTTATCTATCCTATCCTATTCTATTGTTCTACTATTTCAAGAAAGGCACTTTGTCCAAATAAATGGCTAGGGTGTATTTTCAGAGGTTAATTGCTCATTGCAGTCGTACTCTGGGTTATGGTTTGGTTTAATGAGGTCACAGCACAGCACAGCACAGCACAGCACAGCACAGCACAGCACAGCACAGCACAGCACACGGATCCGGATGCGGGTATTTGATTGGATGAAGAATACTTTCTCGGGCAATGTGATTGGTCTGGCGTCCCCCTTGCCATGTCACGACCATGTTCGTGCCGTGAGCTTTTCACAGTCATACGAAAACTGCTCTAAGCATGATCTTGATTTACCAGATGGTGAATTCCTCAATAATTCTTTGCGTACCTGACATCAAAACGTCCTATACCTATCAAACATATGTAGGCCATCACAAGTAAGCCTTAACGGCTGCCAAGTGAATTATAAATGAATCTCATTAAGTTTACAATCGATTATGGTAAAGCCGCCACGCGAAAAGTTCATCATTTCCTTAAGTAAATGCGAATGTAATATACGGGTGATTATCCTTATGATCAGATAACTAGATAGGCTAAACCAGGATCAAAGCGCCCTGCTAAAAACGGTCATTGTGTTTCTGACTGTGAACTTGGGATAAATATGCAGCGAAGATAGAGAAGGAGGAATGTCGAATGCTTTATCCCTCCCCCTCTCTTACTAACACACACATATTCAAGGAAAACCTCAGTCTTCTGCATTCAGTATTATATATACTAGTCTGTTGTGTTTTAAGGCTGCGTTTACACAGTGGCTGAAGAATTTTTAACCTTGGTCAAAAATTTGACCTGTACATACCGTTTACAAGGAACCGTCTCTTTAATTGTATAAAAATACGTTCTCTTTACACGGAACCGGATCCAAATTTGCATGGCTAGGCGTATGAATTTTTGTTCAGGTAGCTCAGTCCCGTGTGAACGGAACTCCTAAACCTCTTGACCAGTAAAAAAATTCGTCCGATGCCTTGCAAACGTAGAATAAGTGCCATCTCCACCTATTACACATTTTATTCAAATCTAAGTTCATTTAGGGATGCTCTGTAGTGCTTGATTCCAACATCTAACACATATGAGATCTTCAGAAATGTAAATGTGGAATACGTTAAATGAGAATTAATAGAATCCAGATCGAAAATAACTCTAGATACTTGATGAGCCTTTCGCTAGGGACCACCAGGAACTGGTGATATAATTTGATTGGGTGCTTAAATATCGATCTTGTGAGTGGAATGGGATTTGTTTGTGAGACCTCACGAAAGCAGTCGCTATTTATAGAAGCTACGACAAGTAGTTTTAACTAAAGGCGGGACATAAAACGCGCGCGTATGTCTCTGTACTGTGATATAAACACGCTGTGAGCTATGCAAGAGAAGAGCAAGTGTTTGTCTTGCTTCTCAAGTGGATATCACTGAAGCAGAACATTAGGAACAAAAGCAGATACCTCTGCGCGTCTTTGTTTGGTTCATGYCTGAGTGAAGTCGACAATTAAATAGTTGATAACTAAATACTTTTAAGCACTACATAGCTAGTAATATTAATTGATTCAGAGATCTAAGGCATGCGCTCTATATGTAATCTCTAGAACAAGGTATTTATTGAAACACTTGAAAAGTCTGGTGGTAATTACTCTTTAATAGGATCACAGTTTGATATCCTTCCAATCTAATCGAGACCATAACTTGCAAAGCAATGCCCGCAGGTATCGGTGTTAATAATCTTCAGGTGGCTAATGCAGATATTCTGCGCATTTATAACTAGTAAAAACAATGATCTAGTTTGATTTTTCTAGCACAACTACTTAAAATTATTTTAGTTATATTGCCACAAGGTTACTTTAAGCGACTTTAAGATAAATTGCTTGATCATTTAACTTGTTTGCATTGCTAGGATTTTTGATAGTTTTACATAATCATATACTTAGAAGATATCGTATTTGTTTTAAGTAGAACACTTAAGGAGACTTTTATGATATCATTATTAAGACATGATTATAGTCTTGGTTTACTGTTGTCAACAGTTCAAGCAATCTGCGCTGTAGTCTAGAACTGAAACAACTATCATTTTATTTTGTTTATTTCTGATCATGTGAATCAACGCGCGCGATTTTTTTCACTAGTTGTGCGCGTAAAATAATTAACACAATTGTTAAAAGTGGATCCAGTTCTGGACTAATTGCGCTCTGAATGTACTTGGGTAGGACGAAGCATAGAAATAGACCATTTCACGGATCCCGTTACTCAACCTCGGCCTCGTCAGCGTGTAATATATTCTTTAGAAATTGCCTACAACCTGTGAAATTTTTAAGTGTTTCAATTGTTCGTTGATGTGTAAATTCCTTTCATTACTGCGGACTGTAGTCAAATTCTAAATAATAATTACACGCTGACGAGGCTGAGGTTGAGTAACAGGATCCGTGAAATGGACTATTGTGTTTGAGATAAATTATAGTCGCAACAGAAGGAATATGAATTTTTGTTTTGTGCACTCTTCAAATGGCTCTCACAAAACGTTTATAGGACACAATTTGATGATGTCATGTGAAACACCTTATATAAGCGCCACGCCGGGGATCGGCATCGTCTCTAACATACCTGATTTAAGTGCTTATCTATAGATTTCAGATGCGAAGCGAAAGGCAGCACTTAAGGTTGTAATTACAACCTTAAAGATCTAAATATTTTCGATCAAACTATGTATCAAAACCATTAGTAACTGAGCCAAGACTCTATGGGCCCCTTGCATGTGACGTCAAAGGAGTTTCATCTGGGGGACAAAACAAAATAATTCCAATCTCCTGAGAGTTGGAACCTATTGTCTTGTCCCCCAGATTGAGCTGCCTTCCAAAGTGCTGCAAGGTGTCTATAGTCTATAATGTTTGCACTTGAACATGTTGCTATTTGAAAAATAATTGCGCGCTTTGTAAATAATATATTGTGTATAAACGCATTGGGCGCAATGTCGTCGTAGTCGACACCTCGTGGCGTTCCTTGATAATTTATAAGATTCTTTGCTAAGTTGGGGCTGTATCCTCCGGGGCGTGTATTATTGATGGATTTCGACCATTCCCAAGAGAATTAAATAACAAAAGACACGACGGCCATGTTGGAGGATATAACAAAAGAATTCATTGACAATTCCTCCAACATGGCCGCCGTGAAAACCATCAATTGATGATTCAAATCAAACCTCAACAACGAAAACTATGCACACAACGATGAAGGAAAGAATAGCAACGATTTGTTGCCAAAAATGTCGAGTATTACTAATTTCAACTCAAATTCCTTTGCAGGGTTAATGGGTCTCTCAAGAACTTTGACGATTTTGCATCTGTATTTGACTGCGCTCCTGGAAAACCCATGAACCCGAGGAGTAAATGTGGACTGTGGTAGAGGTAACCTAAGATGATTTGAAAACAAAACTCCAACCGCTAAATGTACCAATATATTCGCTACAATGATGATTGAGGTTCAATGACTGAAAAGGGTTGCAAGATCAAAGCTGTACTGTTTAATTGTAGTTCATCATTGGAAAATAATGTTCTAATATTCGCACATGAAATATAGGGAGTTCTTCTAGTTTTCAATATTTCTATTTCTGGTTTTCAATCATTCCCAAGAGAATTAAATAACAAAAGACACGACGGTCATGTTGGATGATAAAACAAGGGAGACTAAAGAGGAATCTATTGTTAAATTTATCCAACATGGCGGCTGTGAAAGCCATCAATATGCATATTGCGTCACAAATGAAATAATTCGAACAATTGATTATATGCTAATTAATGTTCTTAAATGCCGGGAAAAGGGCAATAGTTTACATCACTGCACATGGGAATGTATCTGGGACCTTAATGAGAAGTAGTCAACAAGTTTTTTGCTGATTTCAGAGGGTTTATAAATCAAGCGGTAAAGAAGGCATTGGTTAAACTGTTATTCTTCTTACATCAAACCAATCGTCAACGCAAAAGTTGAATTTAAGGACAATTTGAGATAAAATTGCAAGATCACTAGGATTTTATTGTTACGTATTTTTTATTGTTATTATATTAAATATCCATCGACCAACCGCTCGTCCAGCCAGTCGTTTGTCCGTATCCTGCGTGAGTGAATGTCGGGCTGTTGAATCTAAAATAAGAGTGCATCAACTGTCTTTAAATGACCTGAAGGAATACTCCATAGCCTATCAGAAACCGTCAAAACAGAACCGGTTATAGTGATAAAAAATATCATTTCTTTGTTATCCTCTCCAGACTACTACTATCCTCACCATGTACGTGATTACATTAAAGTGCCTTTAACCCTTCTGACAATATTCACTGTATTGGTTCTACATGGGGTAAGAGCGGTTTAATAACTCGGAAAAAAAGTTTGAGTGCGGCTTCTTGGAGTTAAAGGTTTTTTTGTGCCATATGCTAATGACTGTCACGTATGAGGCGACGAAATTTTATAYACATTCAATATACAAAACACTATACCGGCACACATAAATTGAAATTATAATTCGAAATGCGTCATTCGTTTCCCCATTGCTCTTATAGAAATTATTGCAAGTTAGTTTTCGCATAGAAGCCGGTGTTTCGAATTACAAAGAGCGACAAATAACCATAAATGCCTCCTCATCATACGTCACAGCATTAGCATATGACTAGGATAAACCTTTATAACTTCAAGAAGCCGCACTCGAACTATGCATTTGTTTCGGGTACCCCATGTAGAATCAATACGTACTGTGAATATTATCAAAAGGGTGATAGGAACTTTAGTCTTGATCCTTCATTTAGTGCATCATGGTGGGGTCTATACAGAATCCTTAGATGTAATGCTTTTTTCCCTGTACGTATATTAATCTAACTGCTTATTTTGTGAGCCCTGTAAGCCTGGTTTTTTTGGCAACCGTTCAGGGTCGTCATATCTTAACTTTAGCCAGCATCATGAGGGAATCCATCATCATCTTCGTTTCATCTCAAGGACCTTATCATATAAATTCTCCAGTTATCTCGTTCTATACCCTAAAATTGACTTCTGATACGACTGATAAAAGTCATCTATTTGGAATCAATTGACAATGTTCTTAGATAAGGAAGATGAAGAGCAGATCGCAAACTAGTGGCTTGCTTGCACTATATCCTATTGTATTAAATAGAGGGACCAAAGGGCGCGTAGCGGTAGTGCACTCGCCTCACCTTTTGGGGACTCAGATTCGATCAAGCAAATTAATATCGCGGAAATACGTACAAAGGTGAATCAAATGGGGTGGTGAGGTGGCAAGCCATCCCCTCTGAGATAGTACTGTTAGATCTAAAGAATCCATCAGTGGAGGCAAGTCTTTACATTCTAGATCTTGCCAATGAATGCTCAGGTATACGTATCAAATATACCGCATCAAACTCATGACCAAAGGGTAGTACCAAAATTACTAATTCAACTAATCTTGCACAAGATTCGATCATTTCCAGTTACCACGTGTTTTGCAAAGTCGCAAATCATTAAACTCACACCAATTCGTTAGTGAGCTAGTCACAAACTCTAAGCGAATTTATCCTTGACAAAAACCGACGTTTAGAATTTAAAAAAGGGGCTCTTAACTTGAGTTCATTAAGATGCATATGCTGAAAAACGAGCGACAAAGCATTACCCCTGGCTTCCCGAGGATGCTTTCAGTGGGGGTATTTAAGGTTTCTTTACTTTAATTTCCTTCTCCATCCAAGTTACCGGTTTCAAATGTCATTTGTCCAAAACATTTTCCAAATTCAAATTTAGTGTCGAATTTTCGAAATGGTTTACATCCATGACACTTCCAAGGGGCTTCCAAGTCCAATAGAGGCTTTGCCCCATCACGTGATGGCAGTCATTACAGGAGGTAGGAACAATTGAATCTGTCCTAATTTGATTTACATGAAATAAGATTTCAGTTTGTCAGGGGGAAAAGACTCCATTGTTGTGTCTTATGATGGGTGCAGACGGTGCAAAGCTTCCATTACATCTCGGGATGGTTTATTTATTTTAGCCTACGTGCAGTCCGACTTAACACTGGCAAAGTTAAAGCATATCAGTCCTGGCTTGGCACCATCTTCGGGAAACCCGCAGGCACTATCGAACTCACGAGAAGTCTAATTGTTTCTCCCATTGCGAAGGGTGCCATTCTGGTATCATTGGTTTCCTGATAATCCCTTGGGATATTTTCTTAATACTGGCTGCAAAGCTCGGCGTCCACATATATAGTCTCACAGCGATGAAAGGTCATTGGACGATTATGATTAAGAGCTGAGTTTCAAATTTCCATTGAAACATATTCAGAATGAAAGTATGACTCGTTTATAAGGTTATTTTCTCCTGGTTTGGTAACTTGATACGGGATTTTATTTACAGCAAATTACCACTAATTAAATCGGCCTAGGTAACTGTAGTTCATCCTAAACTCGCCCTGAGCCAAAATCGATTCTTTAGTGACGCTTGAGTTTCCTCTCTCTGCTGAAGATGTTCTACGATCCTGTTCTGTTAGTCAAATGGATTGTTGTGGTTTTCTTATTCCCGTCAATGTTAAATCTCTTGGAAGGTCGCATTTGTAGTAAGCCAATACCTGGATTCGACGCTCCTCAAGAACCTCGACAACTTCAAGCTGAGCACAACGAGGGGGTTTGTTGGGATCCATCATGCATCGAAATAGCATCAGGTAAGATTTCATGCTATATTTTGGAATCAAAATTTACCATGTCAAGAACTCTATCTCGTTTTTTAATGTTCGTTTAGCTAGAAAAAAACATTTACACTCCCTTCGCTTTTCCTGTTGGCATTGAATTTCTGTGAACTGGTCATGTCCGAACTTTTCATACACGAACATGTACAATATCATTAGATTCACATAATACAATTACACCAGGGTCGGGTGATTTGGTGATTTRATAGTGTAGGTCATCGAGGCAAGGGTTTTGTTCCTCGACTGCCGGAAATAGATTGATTGTCAGAAGTGCCTAGATATCCTGAACTTCTAAGTATATCTATAGATGTGGAATAATAACATTAAGTACACCGAGCTTGGAATTATGTCATACCCATCATAGCGATTCTATAAATCGACTTCAATTGTATATAGCCATCAATGTCGATATTGAGACCATTTTTTAGGCTTGTTTGTTACCCAGGACTAATCGCCTATGGCTGTCTATCGAGATCTCTTTCTGCAAGGCGCCATTACTTCTCTTTTCTTGCTGCTCCTTTATAATTGCTTTTGATGTTCAAGTGGAAGTTCAGCTCAAAAGAGCTATTTTTATGGCCTTCTGGAAGAATTCAATTGCTTTTAAGTTGAAAACGCACGAAGATTATCATCAGTTATCTTCACAAAAATGTCACTAGAAACCACAAACTTTTTCATCCTTTTTAGTGTTTTCAATTAATTTTTTATCTATTCTTTCTTATGAACGTAACATAATTTTGTTTTATTTATTAGCAAAGACTACATTTTAAACATCGAACTTAGTTTCTTAAGTGAATACGAAAACCTCTTCCTTCTTTAAATAGTTTATATATTTTTTAATATTTTATTTATTTTTTCGTTATTTATGCAATTGAATATAAAATGTCTCATTAACATTATCATCAATATCAATCATCTTGCATGCATTTAACGTATATAATCTGAATACACTATTGGCTTGTAAACGAGTTCTTTCAATGATAGGCTTTAAGTTACGAAGTGTTGTTTTTATAAGCATCATTATCACCATTTTAATAAACATCATTGTCGCTAGGCATTTCCGGTCAACGTCATGCGCCTCTCGCCCTGAGCACGAAACTAATTATCTTATTTTTTTAAAAAGTTTAAGTTTGATATCTGTACTTAAAAATAAAAGGAAAACGCAGAAATGGAAAGGTGTAAAGTAGACTGCGATGCAAAATTATTCAAAATTAAACTTATTCAGCAAATCGTTTTTAATATGGAACTTAGAAGAGATAACAGATTTGTACCTAGCTAGGCTTCTGTAAGCTGCTCGCAGCAGGATTCCACAAATGACCACGTAGGAAACCTTCTAGAATATCAAAGAAAATAAGAAATTAATCGGAACAAAGCCTATATACGTTCACTCTTGTCAACACAGGGCAGGAAGATTGTGCCTGCAGGCACACATAGGGACCTCTATCTAACTCTTTATTCAATCTAACCTAAGATAGCTGCTGACCTTAGAAATCATTACTGTCTTGTATGCAGGATCTACCAGTGTGAGGAAATTTAGACCTTATTTCGGACGGTGTAATTTTCTTTATCAGTGCAGACCACGTATAGTATATTCATGTGTCTTCTCATTTGCAACCGTCAAACAAAGAAATGATACTCTAGGGAATGACACGTGGCCAGTGTTATGAAAAAGAAAAGTATTTGGTCTACTACTGAGCCAGCGTAGCGACCCTCTGTTTTTTTTACGAGGCCCAACTCCTCGCAAAAAAAAAAAAAAAAAAAAAAAAGAAAAAAAAAAAAAAAAAGAAAGAAAGAAAAAAAAAACATAAGCAAAAGAGGAATTAGAAAAAAACCTTTTCATACCTCTTTCATAGCAGAGCAAAGCACTTCATTTCCTTTAAAATCTGCCACTTCTACAGACCCAAGAAACCTATGTAAAAACAAAATATCTCTAATAAAATACAGTGTACTGTAAAGATAATATATTCATCCCCTTTACTACCCTGTAAAAATGTGGGAGAGCCTACGTAGCAAGCAGTTGATGTAATGTATTCATAAAAATACAATGAATCACACCCAATACAATAGAAAGAAAGACAATGGAATACAATAGATTTACTGAATACATATTACATCAACTGAGTGCTATGTAGGTTCTCCAGCTGTAAAAATATAGTGACCAGAAATCTTTTAACTACACAGGCCTCCCTTTTCTTTTTGAAAGAACAACCACAACAACATCTGTTGTTTTTGATTTTCAACCACAGACGTTAAGATATGCAGAGAGTATAATATCTGACCTAGAGTTTGGTTACTATAATGGTGTGAAACACTGCCTTTTTAATGAAATATTCCTTCCAATAATACAGCAAATGAAAATTCCAGATTACCAAGTTTGAACTCTGTTGAACATAAACTATTTAGTTCAAAAAAAAAAA